AAGACATTTCAAAAAAAAACTTAAATCAACAAACCTGATTTGACATTATTTAACAGATGCACTGTTAAGATATTTATGCATGGTCTATAGGACTTACACACTATGAAAACATTGGTTTATCTGCTATAGCCRACAGTCACAGTGAATCTGTTAAAAAAGATTGAGATCAAATAATCTTCTTATAAAATATCATTTTCACCTTTAGTTAAAAAAAATTTAATGTTAAATGTTAAACATAAAACAAATACCTACATAATGTTAAAGTTGCTATATGATCATTATTAGTTTTAAATATTTAGTGCTAAACCTAAAAAGATAAAGATAACTTAGATATAAAATATCTATTTATATTTACAATAGAATTCACTTCTTATAATATTCTGGTTATAACGATTATAATATATATATGTATAACATATATATACTTAGTTTGTTATATTTATACTTAATCAATAATATTAATGTTAACTATAAATTATTTCATCAATGTATTATTTTCAATAAAATGCTCTAAAAAATATTATTTTTTATTTATAGATGAATTATTTATGAAAAATGGTCTATTTGAGAAACTATCTTTTCATAAACAAGCTTATGATATGTTTGATGCCAACATTAAGCATGAACCACTGGATGCTGATGAAAAACCATACAAAGAATTTATAGGAAATGGTTATTTTGGAATAACACTTGACTATGATTCTCCAATCTATATAAAAGGCAATAGAGCATTGTCAATACCTATTTATTGGTATCCAGTAATCAAAATAGATATTGAAGCTCCATCACAATTGGCTACAGTTGTCAACTATAAAAATGGTATAGCGTACCGATATGAATGTTTTTCTAACCGACTCCAAAGTAGTATTAAATACTTTGCATTCCGAGCTTTACCAACAATTCTTGTTCAGGATATAGAACTAACAAATCCGACAGATTTTGTATTATACGCTAAACTTAAGCAACACTCTCATAAAACACATGGATGGTCAATGTATAACACACGTCCCATTAAGTAAGTTGATTTATAAACTTATATTTAGTTTCATAAAATATTTTATCATGTACTCTAGAATAGCTGATCAGACTGAAAACTATATAGTTGAATCTGGTATTAGTACATCAACATCTGACAACCCAATTTATGGTGTTTCAATAACATACTCTCAGTTTCCAATTAATGTTAAGGTAAATATTAAAAAGTATTTATTAAAGTTAAAKAACTAAATAATTGTGAAATATCTTTATAGGTCCTACCACATAGTATATTTAAATTACGTATTATTATTTCAATCGAATATTTGGCTTTAAAAAATTCCTTAGAATTTACTGGAGTTAGATCAACTTTGGAAAAAAAATCAATTGAAGTAAGTTTAATTATTCTTTTAATTATTGTTAAATATAATACTCATGTAATTTTGTTTCATATCTATTTTTATAATTTCCAGTCAATATTGAAAATCTCTCATTATGAAAATATTGAAAAAACACATATTGATATTTGGGAGAAGCTGTGGAGTACTGGCTTTTCAATAAGCATGTCAAAAGCCAGTGGTGTTTTAAATGGTGATTTAATCAATGCAACTGTGTATAATGTTTTATCCAGTGTTCGAGCACCTTCCTATGAAATTTCATCTTCTCCTGCTATTCTTGCTAAAGTTGCAAATAGTCTTTCATATGT